GTAATGGTAACCAGTCACTGGTATTTTCAATAGTCCAGATACATCGAGTGCAAATCATGACTGGCATAAAGAAAACAAACTAGTAGATTTTACAGTACTGCAATTAACATAATATTTGTTTTTCATAGCTTAACATACAGTCAAAACGTCTCAAAGAACCTTTACTGTGACGTTCAGCGACTATCTATAGGTGAACATTTAGGATCATCAAGGAACGACAACTCCACCTTACTAAATTCTAGCAAAGAAAACGTTCCAGGTATTTGCAAACAAGTACGCAGTTAGTTTCTCATACAAATTATAATTCATAGATTGCGTTAACATAAATATTTCAGTGAATTAGAGATTTGTCCTATCTCAGTAAATAAAACAGGATCAAATTTATAATAGCAATTTAATCTTCTATGGACTGAGCTTTGCTTTTCAGATAAAATGTATGCGACAGGATTGCTTCCTTTATTAATGCGTTAGTTACTATTACATCTTAAAAAGGCAATATCCAATTTGGCTCCTGGTAGTGCAAATAGATGATCTAAAAGTAGGGGAATATTTGGGAAACCAGAATTGTAAGATTAGGTTTAATAGATAAGGACAGGCAAATTTCAACAAAATACCAGAGTTAAAAACTCAGAAAATAGACCTGCATGTGAGGAAATTTGAATAATATGATAAAGGTATACATTAACACATCACTATAGGAAGTAAATGGAGTTCAAAGGCAAAGGGTCCCATGGATGAAGAAATCAGATTGAAGGGAATTTTAAAAAAGCGTTTGATGATTAAAAAGCAAAAAATAAGTATAATCTGCATTCGATAGGGTAAACGTGTTGTCAAGTTCACTGGTCAAATTTCAACACAAGATCTTGCCAATATCAGCAATCCACTACATCAAATTTACTTCAATTTTTTTGCAAGGAAACAGACACCATTGGTAACACTAAATTAACAGGTTATGTACAGTACTTGGTTGTGAGATGCACGCTAAAAACATTAATTTAATGTCCAAAATATCACCTGTTATCTACCCACAAGTAAGTCGATTTATTGCCAAATTTTACAAGTTAAATAAGTAATGAAATGGACCCAGCAACTTGGGAAAACCATGGAAAAATATACCATGGACCAGATTAATGAGAAACTAGCCACATTCTAAGTAAATGAATGTTGCATTTTTACAACACTTCATCAATAAATCCTTCACAAAGCACTTCATTAATAAATGACATTACCACGTCGTTGAGACGTCTCAAAAGGCATCACAGAAAATATTGTATCACGCAGCTCTTTAAGTGTACAGGTGGATTGACTATTTTGTAGGGGGTAATGCAGCAGCCAATTTCACACAGCAGCGTCCCACAAACAGTTGTAGATTGAGTAAGCAATTTTGTTTTTTTGACTGGGTTATCACCCCAGGAAAGCAATCTGCCAATCAACTAACAACCATGTCCCTACTTTCTGCTAGGCAAACAAAGATGTGGAATAAGGAAACTTGCCTAAGGTTTTACCCCACCTGGGAATTGAACCCAGATTCTCTCTCTTGCGAGGCAGAAGTGCTAACTACTACCCTAGAGTTAGAAGCCATCTGAATATGTAGGGAAGTGAATGCCAGCCCTACAGATGATGTCATCAAGTACATAGTATATGGAGTATATAGATAAGGAAAAGGAGATCGCAAAAGATAAAGCTCTGAGGAACCCCACACATGACAGGGCTGTTAGACACCGGTGGGAATGAAAACAGGATGTGTGGAGACAATAGAAGTGTACCAGAGAAGATAGAAGGATAGAAGTTATGAAACAGTGCTGAAAACAAGACTCAGAGCAAGCCAGAGCGCAACATAGACAGGATGTAATTTAGAGGTGCCTTCTGAAAGCAGCAAGTGCACCTCATCAGGGTGTGTGCAGGAGCGCACATGGTTGTGGTGTACACAGGGAACGCCCCAAAAAACATGTGCATGACCTATGTGCGGTGAAGGAATTTACTGTAAAAACTGAATTTTTTGTATCGGGAAGGGAAAAATTTAAACAGAAGATGTTGTGTTTGTTTTGGATTTCTATTATACTAAATAGTATATTTATAAATAAATATATTTTCAAAAAAAGTAATTTAGAACTGACTAAGGCCATCTCAGACCTGAGGGTAGGGTGGAAGCCAGATTGAGAGGATTTACTCAGGAGTGGGAGTGGTAGAAGGTAAAGCAGCCAAGCCTTGAGGCCATGGTGCGTTTCTGCACCTTGTTACTGTGTCCAGTTAAGTTGATTAGTAAAAACAGACAATTGTGTTCATAAAAGGGATATGCTTAGGGAAATGTGTCAAATGGTAAGAAAATTCAACCTTGAAATTGCGCTATAATTATCCAGAGCTAATATCAAGGAGTTATCTTAAAGCACTCACGACACAAGTAATTACAATTAAGTGTTTACTTTCTGAAGGTAACCCAGCACAAGATCAATCTGGAAAAAGTATGTTCAGTAAGGCGAGATTCATGCTCGACTGCCACTCCCTTCCCAACTCAGTAGTTTGCCAATTCAAGTTAGTTTCCCACATGAGTAGCTAAAACGTATTAGTGCCAGTATCTCTAGAATTATACCAGCAAGAGTCAGTGCCTTTGGATGAGGAAATGGAAAGAAAGTTAACAGAAATGAAACTTTAGCCATTTCTTCCTCTACTCAAGCCAATTCAAGCATTTTCATTGTGCTCCTGGCCAAGATCATCTAACTCGGGATAAACCGGTGATTGATCTAGGGAGCCTCCTGGTCTGTGTGGCTCAATAGCACAGCAGGTCATACAATTAGCCACTAGCAAAGCCACTGGAAGGTTACCAAGTAATTTCAAGGACTATTTTTCTAATAAACACTCTCAACATGACTTTCTTAGCATTTGATTAGTCACCGTTCATTTTATGGAGCACAATTAAGGTATCTTACTAATCAACTTAACACAACTTTCCTACTGAATAATGGAAAGTAAATGGATTGAATTTCATTTATTGAAAGAGGGCATTAAGTGCAATACAATACAGAATATTCCTTCCTGTTCCCAAAAAATCATCTTTGCATTGAATTCATAAAATTCCTCTATCCAGAAACCAGAAAGACCAGAGATTATGAGATGCTAAAAGTTTGTGAATGCTCACACCCAATATTTCAATTGCTAAGTAGCTGTTCACAAAAGCAGAATCATGCCCACGATACAATAGGTGAAGGCAAAATATTCCATAGCTCAGGATAAAATGAGGCCCTATACTGCTATCTTATTTAAATACATTGCAATACGATTGAGACAGGCCATTCAGCTCAACTATTTTGTGCCAAAATAAATGGTTATTTAGGCAGTCAAAATAAATTGAAATACTGCAGTATTTCAAGTGTTATAATTATCTTTCCATCTGATATAGGGTCTCATGACAAAAAGTCTCATGCTTTACCTGGAATTGTAGTAACTATTTGCAAACAAATGCGGCAACTAATCTGCACACAGCAAAGCCCCACATGAAGTCATGGAGTTCTCAATCAATTAATCTTGGTGAATGTCAGCCAGGACATCGGGAGAAACTCTCTTTTTGAATAGCGTCACAGGATGTTCAATGTCCACCTGAACAGGTACGTAGGACTTAATAATAATAATAATCCTTGCATTTAATATAGCGCTTTTCACGTCAGGAGGACGTCCCAAAGCGCTTCACAGAACACACTGTAAAGTGAATTGACTGTATATTTGTGGGCGAACGCGGCAGCCAATTACGCACAGCAATGTCCCACAAACAGTCGTAGATTGAAAATGACCAATTTATTATTGTTTTGTTTTTTGGAGGGATTATTATTAGTCGTGTGGAGTAAGGAAACTTGCCCAAGGTTTCGCCCTCTGCCTGGAATTGAACTCAGGTCTCTCGCTTGCAAAGCGAGTGCTCTAACCACTGAGCTACAGGATTCCACTTGGTTCAATATCTCATCCGACTGATGATACCTCTGGCATTGCAGCACTCCCCGAGCACTACAATGAAGTGTCAGCGTGAACTACTCTAACCTTTCTGGAATTGTAAATATTTTGGGTCAATCAGTTAATTATTCTACACTTGGTGAAACAGCAAGTACATACATCACTAATTTAACTAAGAATGAGGAAAACTATTCAGCGGATTCCTTTGGAAAATTAATTTCCACAATGCCATCTAATTATATTAATAAACAATGCATTTGGTTCCAATGATATATCCCTGAAATTTTAGAAAAAAGCGTTACATTTGCTCATTTTTAATGTTGTATCCCTCAAGCAATAAGATCAACATCCATCCCCCAAAGACAAAATTCAAATCCTAAATAATTCAGATACAAGTCCTTCCTTTAGAACAGTCTCAGATAATAATAATAATAATAATAATAATAATAATCCTTGCATTTGATATAGCGCTTTTCACGTCGGGAGGACGTCCCAAAGCGCTTCACAGAATAGACTGTAAAGTGAATTGACTGTATATTTGTGGGCGAACGCAGCAGCCAATTGCGCACAGCAATGTCCCACAAACAGTCATAGATTGAAAATGACCAATTTATTATTGTTTTTGTTTTGGAGGGATTATTATTAGGCTCTGTGTGGAGTAAGGAAACTTGCCCAAGGTTTCGCCCTGCCTGGAATTGAACTCAGGTCTCTCACTTGCAAAGCGAGTGCTCTAACCACTGAGCTACAGGACTCCACGATATCAGTATCTATACATGTACTATATCAGGATAACTAATGCATACATTAAAACATCTCAAACACTTTTGCAATCACTGTCAAATACAATGGCTATTTCTATATTGTAATTTGCACAGAGCAAAGTCCCACAACAGCCATGAAGCAAATGACCAAATAATGAAGTTTGCTCGCCATATATTGAAACAGGATTTACATAAAGTGCACAGATACCCATATGTTCAGAGGCATGGATAGAAACAAGTTTCCCATTGAATTCTTGGATACCCCAATCCTAGAAAACATTAAATACTAAAATCAATTACCTTCCACGGTTGAAGTTTTCAATTGTGAACACAGCCCTTCGGCATCTCCATAACGTTCTCGTATTGTCTCGACAGCATCTATTGAACGCAGTTCCATAAGCTCACGCAGCTCTTTAAGTGTACAGGTGATCCCTGCATCATGGTTTCTCTCTCCTGTGGAATCCCTCGGGCGGAAACTCACAGTGGGTTGTTTACTCATGGTGCACGTGAAAGTTTGAAAATCCAAAATGTAAAAGTCTTGAAGCAAAACCAATCTCCAAATAATGCTTGAGCCTTTTGTTTTCCAACCAATTAAACTCTTAAGGTGCAGTTCTTCCACAAAAGGGATCAGTCAAGGCTATGCCCAGTGCGCAATGTGATCACACAAAAATCCTAATGAACCATTTCCGGTTTTCCATTTTGGCTTCTGCCATTACAAATAATCCTTGTTCACGCAATCTAGAAGACAAAAATGTAAATTAAGATTTACCTAACAAATCTAGAACTTGGATTTACACAAATGTAGAAAATACTGATATTACATGCAATAAAGTTAATGGCAATGTGGTTAAATAACACTTGTACAGCATCTGACAAAGCAGCTAGTGTTCATAATGGGAAACATCAAGACATTTCATACGCTCCAATTACATAGCTGGATTGTTGCTTATATTTATCCTTCACTAATAAGGATCAAGTACAAGCATGACATTTATATGCAATGCAACATGTGTTGTTGGAACTCAAATACTGAATTAAAGAATTCTAAGCATGTTGCATGATATTCTCATACAATCTCTGAGCAGCGTTATGCTTTCAAGGCTGATGACTCACAAGCTAGCTTTATAATTCTCTGAAAAGGCCACTCAAATTCGTGAATTCTACAGAAAAAAAGACTATTCAAATACAGCAGCACAAAATTACCCAATGACAGTTACTGAAAGCCTACTTTGTATTCCTTCTCTGCAAAAGATTTGACCTTCAACTGCATATTCTGACCAGTTTTATTAAAGGAAAAGGCTCGCTAAAATGATTATCTCAGGAAAGCCTTGTTTAATCTAATTAGTCAATCTGAGACCTGAAAAGCTACAGGCTATTAACTTATATACACAAGCATCATACTATCCAGAACACAAACACCCAGACAGCAAGTCAGTCGAAGATTCAGTTTACAAAAAACAACTCCAGAGCTACTGCATGAAGCACAGCAGCCATTATATTGGTGAAGACGAAGACAGTTGTGCAAATCATTTGGAATCACCACAGATTTACCAAATTAATGAATGGTGTGACCTCTAGTTCTTAATATTGCTCAAAAGGTTGTTGAAATGCACATTTAGGAATGGAAATTACCAAATAAATAGCACAATATTTCTAATATTTACTGTGCAATATTTTCCACACTGACAGAATGAAATTCCAGCAGTTAGTCAATCATGCTAAACAGAATGCTTACTGATTAAAGAACTAATTAAAGGTTTAAAATTATGTTGAGTATCAATTTTCATCACAATGGTATACATAAATTTGCCATGTTTCATTGTGTTTGATTTAATGTATTGAACTCTCAATCGTAGCTCTGGAAGGAGTTGCAAAGAAAAAGTTTGAACTTTAAAATTTTGAACTAAATTAGATATATTTACAAGATGTGTTCAACTTACAATGTTTGTATTGTATAATCAATAAATAATCCTCACATCTGTTAGCACCTTTTGTAGCAGGAGGATTTTCTAAAACACTTCACAGGATTTACTGTCAAGTGTAGCTACTGTATTTTGCAGGCAAACAGCAGTCAATTTGTGCACAATGTCCCACAAACAGCCATGAAGTAAATGATCAATTTTATCCGGGAGATGTTAGCCAAGCCACTGGAATAAACTCCCTTCTCTTTTTGAACCGTGCCATGGTAACTTTAATATCCACCTGAACAAGTAAAAATGGATCCTTGGTTTAAAGTCTCACTGGAAGGACAGAAATTTACCACTTCCCAGTACTGTATTGGAATGGCAGCCAAGATGCCACGTTCAACATGGAGCTTCACTCCACAACCACTGACTTGGAGGCTCGAGTGCTACTAACTGTTAGGCTGACACCAACAAGTCAGGGTAAGATTTGTTCAAGAAATGGTTGTACCAATTTTGCAAAGCTGTCAGTTCAACAGGAAACCTGCATAGATACCATCTCATTCCAGACATTAAAAACTTCAAGCTTAGAGCTTTCTTCTCTTAACCACCTTCTACATTGATCACTGAACTACAGGTACCAAGAACATTCAGACTTCAAATGTGTAATTGTATACAACTCTGAACAGCAAACATCAGGAATAACGTGCAAATTCTAGACTCGTTTATGATAAATGGATTGTAGCACTTTCAATACAAAAAAGGCCAAAGAGCAGAGAAAAGGAAGATATCATTAAGGATGTTATCAGAAGGATTGACAGACTAAAATGGGCTCAGAAATTCAATAAATCTTACACAAGGGAAACACCTATGTGATCAAAACAGCATTTGGACAATTTGGAAAATCAAAAATGACATACCCAAGAATTTCAATATATGAAGTGTATCAACTGAACAAAGATGACAAACATGGAAATTTCAAACAAGCTAAAATTAATAAAACATCATACAGGCAAAAGGCGGCAACCCTTGTTATTACTGTACATGTAAAGTAGACATACATAAATGTTTATACAAAGGATGGCATCTCCTGAACTGAGGCCTGATTTCACTACAATTGGAAAAGAATTGCAACTCGCCAAACCACACAAAGTATGTACAATCAAAATCCCCAAAACCTTTATGGCTAAATTGTCCTTCTGAAACACAAGATTAAAGACAAGGGATTCAAAACAAAGTAAATGGAAGGTATTGTTTTAAACAAGAGCAATAGCCTCATGGAAAAAGCTGCCTGGTAAATAATTGAGGGTAAATAATTTCAAAGAGAGGTTTGGCACGATTGTTATTTAAAGCTTTCAACTGTAGTATAATAGGCTATTCTTAAATTTTAAACGTGTGACATTTCAACTAATGTCAATGTGATGGAGCTGTGGTTAGATAGACAAAAATAAAACTTTCATATGAAAAAACCTTCACAAGATTTCCCAGATGTAGCAAGTACACACTGCCTCAGACCAGCTCTGCTTTCTTTGAAGATGACAGTTAATAGTTCTCAGCATTGAGGCCAGATTTAAAATATCACCCGAACCTAGGGCAACAGGTTCTAACCCGCAAAAGAATAATTAGTTACCCACCGCAATATAGGAGTGTATTACACATTTACATTAATGATATGATCAACACCCCCACGCACTTTGGAGATTGGGGAATGAAGTTCAATCTCAACTGACCTATTGGCCTACAATAAATACATTTTTAAATAAAGTAAAGTCAATGCGATTAAAACATCCAAACAGTATTGGTTTCTTAAGAATGGTCAGCCTCCAGAATTAATTTCTGCACTTTGCAGTACTAGCTGTCCACCATATGATTCTAGTAACATCTTAATGCTGAATCAAATTACTGGCACTCATATAGAGCCTTTCATGCAGGATAGTGTTTCAAACCACTTTTCAGAGACAAAGTGGGAGACCAAATACGGTGGGAGGAAATGTTAGACTGAAGGCAAAGAGGTACTTTTTAAGAAGCACTTAGAAAGTAGAGACTAAGGGTGCGAGGTGAGTTGATTTTTTTAGGTATCCGAAAGTACTGGTGTAGTGGCTGAAATCGTACCCACTAATGGTGGGATTGGGGGGGGGGGGAGAAGAGACATCAGAAGGCTTGAATTAGCACAGGGGACAATGCAAGGAATTAAAACTCATTAATTTTCTGTTTTACAATTTGACTGTTCACATTTGCTACACTAGTGTGTGGTCAACAAGTAATCTGCTTGCTCATCAATAAAGACATCATAATCCTTGCATTTGACACAGCACAGCAGCAAACAAGCTCTTAAGGAATTGCTGTCTAGAATGGCAACTATTTGTAGGCTAATGGGTCAGTCAATTTACAAAAGTGAACAAGCTACAGATAATTGGTATTTACAGAACAGAAACATGATTAAGTATCAATGGCTTAATCCTTGATCTCCCAAGACTAAGTAAACAATTGAGAAATAATCAAACTAAAATCCATTGCTCATCCTCTAAACCTTTGTTCTATTTTTGTTCCAGTTATTAGAGTTCACTGATCCCTTAAGAAGCGTTCTACAAGGGTACTATACAAATGCAAATAAGTGTAAAATACTATTAGAGTGCTATATAAACTGTATTGATTATGGCAGCAAGTTTACCATTTCTGGAAATCTTGGAATATTGAACATTGAAATATTGATACTGATGCAAAAAATGGATACTTTACATGAGTAAACAAAATTTCATTAAGGTTTACTAGAAACCTTACTATCACGAACTACACTTAAGTCAACATATGGGATTAGGTTTTTAAAAAGGACCATTTGGCGTGCTTGCCCTATATCATTTTACTTAAGACTGTGCACAAAGTAGCACAGTGATTGAATCAAGAACTGAATTAGTTCCTTAGATCACTTCTCATTTTAAAATATTTAGTAAATATGAAATTTATATTTCAGTTGCTGTGAATTTTCCTCTATATATGGGATAGAAACCATTTAAAACATAGTTATGATGCAAAATCAGATGTTTGTCAAACAGTTGATGAAGAAAGCATCAAGTCAACCTCAGTGGAGGACGTATCAGGAGTCCATTTCCTAAGTCAGGCGTTTCCCCAATAGTCTAAAGTACAGCTGATGACAGACCAGTCAGCCTGGCTCATTGGCAGGACTTGTAAGTGCAGACACTGGTAACTGGGACCAATATTCTTCCCAATATTGAGCTCCTGTTAATCCTGCAGGCCAAAAATCATAGTTGGAAGGGTGATCCTAGGTAGCCAAGCACCAGGAAGCTTACCAGATAGTTGTTGCAGTGACAAGCTGTAAAGTTTTAGCCAGCCAAACTCCAACAGTAGCACAACACATTCTGTGCACCATCACCCCCAAAAAAAGGAACAGGCTTGAGGAGCTCCTGTTCATATGTTTCAAGCATTGGCTCTCACCAGCTTGCACTCAATACTCCTTGGAATTAGGTAAGCAGGTTAAATTCCCACCAGAGAGACGGCGTGCATTCCATTCCTGACAGGAAATTTCCATCTGCACGTGGCATGCGCATGTTGAACTCTGACTGATTTGGACACTCTTAAGTAGGATGGATTTCCACATAGGTCAGACATCCAGCTGACCAAACACAATGCCACTTTAGCATAAGGCAGCATAATTTGATAGAGTGCTGAACATGAGGGGAGGATTCTCAAAGCACTTCACAAGATATACTGTAAAGGGTAGAGATTTATTTGTCAGTAAACAAGGGACTCGTGTGCTAGACTTGAATGGAACCTGAATAAACCGTTCAACCTAAATAGTAATGGAAGCTAGAAAATTGG